CAAGCCATAGAGTACCACAAACAACATCTTACTATTTCCGTAGAACTGAGAGACAAAGGTGGCGAGGGACATGCCTACCACGATCTCGGCATGGCTTCTTACCAGCTGGGCGATATAAGTCGAGCCACAGAGTACCAGAAACAACATCTGACTATATCCGAAGAACTGGGAGACAGGGCAGGCGAGAGAAGGGCCTACCACAATCTTGGCTTAGCTTATCACGTGCTGGGTGATTTCAATCAAGCCATACAGTACCACCAACAACATCTTATTATTGCCAAAGAACTGGGAGACAGGGCAGACGAAAGAAATGCGTACCACAATCTTGGCTCGGCTTATTACCAGCTGAATGATTTCACTCAAGGCATAGAGTACCACAAACAACATCTCAGTATTGTTAAAGAACTGGGAGACAGGGCAGGCGAGGGACATGCCTACCACGATCTCGGCTTGGCTTATTACAAGCTGGGTGATTTCAATCGAGCCATAGAATATCAAAAACAACATCTTAGTACTGTTAAAGAACTGGGAGACAGGGCAGGCGAGGGACATGCCTACCAAGATCTTGGCTCGGCTTATCAAAAGCTTGGTGATTTCAATCAAGCCATAGAGTACCACAAACAACATCTTACTATTGCCGAAGAAACGGGAGACAAGGCTGGCGAGGGACGTGCCCACCACGATCTTGGCTCGGCTTATCACAAGCTTGGTGATTTCAATCAAGCCATAGAGTATCACAAACAACATTTTACTATTGCCGAAGAACTGAGAGACAGGGCTGGCGAGGGACATGCCTACCACAATCTTGGCATGGCTTATTACCAGCTGAGTGATATCAATCAAGCCACAGAGTACCACAAACAACATCTTACTATTGCCAAACTACTGGAAGACAGGGAAGGCGAGAGAAAAGCCTACCACAATCTCGGCTTGGCTTATCACGTGCTGGGTGATTTCAATCAAGCCATACAGTACCACAAACAACACCTTACTGTTGCCGAAGAACTGGGAGACAGGGCAGACGAAAGAAATGCCTACCACAATCTTGGCTCGGCTTATTACCAGCTGAATGATTTCACTCAAGCCATAGAGTACCACAAAAAACATCTCAGTGTTGTTAAAGAACTGGGAGACAGGGCAAGCGAAGGACATGCCTACCACAATCTTGGCTCGGCTTATCACAAGCTTGGTGATTTCAATCAAGCCATAAAGTATTACAAACAACATCTCACTACTGCCAACGAACTGGGAGACAAGGCAGACAAGGGACGTGCCTACCACAATCTTGGCTCGGCTTATTACAAGCTGGATGATTTCAATGAAGCCATAGAGTACCACAAACAACATCTTGGTATTGTTAAAGAACTGGGAGACAGGGCAGGCGAGGGACATGCCCTCCAAAGTCTTGGCTCGGCTTATCACAAACTTGGTGATTTCAATCAAGCCATAGAGTATCACAAACAACAACGTACTATTGCCGAAGAACTGGGAGACAGAGCTGGCGAGGGACATGCCTGCCACGATCTTGGCTTGGCTTATTACCAGCTGGGGGATTTCAATCAAGCCATACAGTACCACAAACAACAACTTACTATTGCCGAAGAACTGGCAGACAAGGCAGACGAAGGAAACGCCTACCACAATCTTGGCTCGGCTTATTACCAGCTGGATGATTTCACTCAAGCCATAGAGTACCACAAAAAATATCTTACTATTGCCGAAGAACTGGGAGACAGGGCTGGCGAGGGACATGCCTGCCACAATCTTGGCTTGGCTTATCACGTGCTGGGTGATTTCAATCAAACCATAGAGTGCCACAAACAACAAGGTACTATTGCCGAAGAACTGGGAGAAAGGGCAGACGAAAGAAATGCCTACAACAATCTTGGCTTGGCTTATCACAACCTTGGTGATTTCAATCAAGCCATAAAGTATCACAAACAACATCTTACTATTGCCAAAGAACTGGCAGACAGGGCAGACGAAAGAACTGCCTACCGCAATCTTGGCTCGGCTTATCACAACCTTGGTGATTTCAATCAAGCCATAAAGTATCATAAACAACATCTTACTGTTGCCGAAGAACTGGGAGAGAGGGCTGGGGAAGGACATGCCTACCACGATCTTGGCTTGGCTTATTACCAGCTGGGGGATTTCAATCAAGCCAAAAAGTACCACAAACAACATCTGACTATTGCCGAAGAACTGGGAGACAGGGCTGGCGAGAGAAATGCCTACCACAATCTTGGCTTGGCTTATCACGTATTGGGTGATTTCAATCAAGCCATAGAGTGCCACAAACAACAACGTACTATTGCCGAAGAACTGGGAGACAGGGCAGACGAAAGAAATGGCCACAACAATCTTGGCTTGGCTTATCACAACCTTGGTGATTACAATCAAGCCATAAAACATCACAAACAACATCTTACTATTGCCAAAGAACTGGGAGACAGGGCAGACCAAGGAAATGCCTACCACAATCTTGGCTCGGCTTATTACCAGCTGGACGATTTCCCTCAAGCCATAGAGTACCACAAACAACACCTAAGTATTGTCAAAGAACTGAGAGACAGGGCAGGCGAGGGACATGCCTACCACGATCTTGGCTCGGCTTATCACAAGCTTAGTGATTTCAATCAAGCCATAAATTATCACAAACAATATCTTACTATTGCCGAAGAACTGGGAGACAGGGCTGGCGAGGAACATGCCTACCATGATCTTGGCTTGGCTTATTACCAACTGGGTGATTTCAATCAAGCCATAGAGTACCACAAACAACAACTTACTATTGCCGAAGAACTGGGAAACAGGGCAGACGAAAGAAACGCCTACCACAATCCTGGCTCAGGCTATCACAACCTTGGTGATTTCAATCAAGCCAAAAAGTATCACAAACAACATCTTACTATTACCGAAGACCTGGGAGACAGGGCGGATGAAAGAAATGCCTACCACAATCTTGGCTCGGCTTATTACCAGCTGGGTGATATCAATCAAGCTATAGAGTACCACAAACAACATCTTGGTATTGCCAAAGAACTGGGAGGCAGGGCAGGCGAGGGACATGCGTACCACGATCTTGGCTCGGCTTATCACAAGCTTGGTGATTTCAATCAAGCCATAAAGTATCACAAACAACATCTTACTATTGCCAAAGAACTGGGAGACAGGGCTGGCGAGGGACATGCCTACCACAATCTTGGCTTGGCGTATCACGTACTGGGTGATCTAAATCAAGCCATAGAGTACCACAAACAACAACTTAGTATTGCCGAAGAACTGGGAGACAGGGTAGACGAAAGAAATGCCTACAACAATCTTGGCTTGGCTTATCACAACCTTGGTGATTTCAATCAAGCCATACAGTACCACAAACAACAACTTACTATCGCCGAAGAACTGAGAGACAGGGCTAGCGAGGGAAATGCCTACCACGATCTTGGCTTGGCTTATTACCAGCTGGGTGATTTCAATCAAGCCATAAAGTGTCACAAACAACATCTTACTATTGCCGAAGAACTGGGAGACAGGGCAGACAAGGGACGGGCCTACCACAATCTTGGCTCGGCTTATCATAAGCTGGGTGATCTCAATCAAGCCATACAATACCACAAACAACAACTTACTATTGCCGAAGAACTGGGAGACAGGGCAGACGAAAGAAATGCCTACAACAATCTTGGCTCGGCTTATCACAACCTTGATGATTTCAATCAAGCCATACAGTACCACAAACAACATCTTACTATTGCTGAAGAACTGGGAGACAGGGCAGACGAAAGAAACGCCTGCCACAATCTTGGCTCGGCTTATCACAACCTTGGTGATTTCAGTCAAGCCATAAAGTATCATAAACAACATCTTACTATTGCCGAAGAACTGGGAGACAGGGCTGACGAGGGACATGCCTACCACCATCTTGGTTCGGCTTATCATATGCTTGGTGATTTCAATCAAGCCATAAAGTATCACAAACAACAACTTACTATTGCCGAAGAACTGGGAGACAGGTCTGGCGAGGCACATGCCTATCACAATCTTGGCTTGGCTTATCACGTGCTGGGGGATTTCAATCAAGCCATAGAGTACCACAAAAAACAACTTAGTATTGCCGAAGAACTAGGAGACAGGGCAGACGAAAGAAATGCCTACCACAATCTTGGCTTAGCTTATCACAAGACTGGTGATTTCAATCAAGCCATAAAGTATCACAAAGAACATCTTACTATTGCCGAAGAATTGGGAGACAGGGCAGACGAAAAAGATGCCTATCACAATCTTGGCTCGGCTTATTACCAGCTGGATGATTTCACTCAAGCCATAGAG